CCCCAAAACCCCAAAACCCCAAAACCCCTAATGTGTCTGAAAATATTAAAAAATCAATAATAAAATCAAAACCTCAAAATCATATATTTACCCTTGATTCAAGTATAAAATAGTAAATCAAATCAGTATCAATTATTTTGCCTACCAAAATAGCCATGTCTATTTTATTCTGAGTCTGGTACTTCTAAGTCACCTTTATCTTTAAAGTTCTTTCAATCTTTGAAGGATCTTCCCCTTCTTTCAAAAGCCCCTCGTCTTTCAAATTCAACTCAGTTTTCTTGAGTTTCATCTCAGTGCCGTTCTCCATTTAAATCTTCTTTATTGCATAATCAATTTGGATTGGCTGCTCAGTTTATTACTGACTCAGAATATGTCTGTAGTAATTCAAGTTTACTAAAGTAAATTGCAACTTTAATGGAGGCAGTTGGAATCCAATCTCATTTGTGTTTTTAAACTTCAGCTCAAACTTTTAAACTGCCTAATTAATGTCTAAGCTGATATATCCCTCTTCTTGTTGCAGAGGGAGAAAGCATCTCACTTAAGGTTGATATAACTTCCCTCTTGCTATAACTTTTTATATTTGCTGTTAGTCAGGACAGGTTATCACAAGTTAAGATACGATATTCATGAAAGGCATTTCTTGTAAAAACATCTAGTTCTGCAATACAACTATCAATTTCAACTCCTAATTAGGTGGAATTGTAAATTAAGTCGCCTAAACTAGTTGTCTGCTATTTGGATCTTCTAAATAAAAAGATTAATAGCTATTGAACACCTCTTCCTCTTCAATGCTTATTCCGTAGATATTTTAGAGATCAGATCTAGTGAAGCCTTCAGTTTGCTGGTCAACAAATACCTATAGACTGAGGTAGTTATTTTAGCTTGAATTGAAGAGTTTTAAAGAGTTACCAAGAATCTTGCCTGAATAGAATACCTCAAAATTTAATTCATTATTGTCATTGTCTAACAGATGCAAATTCTATATCTTGTTTTGCATTTGAAATCTCTGATTCAAGTTAGCTTAGACTTTTAGATCTACATTCACATTTTTGAAGTCAAGGTGCTTGCCAGGAGTTGAGTTATTACTGCTTTCTTAGGAATCATCGTTATTGTTGTGTCTATTCTAAGGAATGTAGTTTTGATATCTATGAGGTGAAACTGAGGGACTTTTATTAGGTTATCTAAATAGGTTCAAAGGTGGTGGGGTCTTTTGAGCAGTATTGTTAGTGTTACTTATCTGGCTAATTCGAGATGATGAATGATCATTATTGAGTCTTTCGCTACTTTCCTTGCTTTATCTAACGTTTTTCTGTCTAAAAGTGTGATGATTAGTGTTATTATCCATAAAATTATCATAGTTTTGCTGATCCTTGCGATATGACTGGATTGGGAAGCCCAGTCTATTAGTAGATATTTCAGACTGCATATTTTCACCATCAAAGTCTTCTTCAATTGTAGCTATTAAATTCTTGCTTCTATCATGTACAGAGTTGGCATGAATCAATATTTACTCCTAATTCATCTGATTTAACTGTTGCTAAGTAAATATCATTGAAGTAGAAGTAACATCTGAGTCACTGTCCTGGTAAGGCACTTAATCAGAACCCAAGTCAGTGGTTAACTTTTGGAAAAAGTCATCGAATGCTTTGTTTATTACCTATTTATTTTGTTCAATCATCATTGAGCTCTCATTTGAACTGTACTAATAGACCTAATTGCTGTTGTTGTTGTTGTTCTTGTTGTTGTTGTTGTTGTTGTTAATGTTACTTGAATTTATCTGAGTATTTTGAATCTAATTTTGATTTAACTAGCTCTGATTCATTTTGTTTATGGTTATGTCATTGAAGGCTTTACGAGCATCTTCAATGATTTTTTATTGAATGATGGATGACTGATCTTGAGATTTGCTATCTGATTAAATAGATTTAGAATCGTCATCCATATCACTTTCAGAGTCTTGAATCTCTCCTATAACATTCTTAGTTATTTCCGCAAAGACATTGGAGTAATTTTTAAATACTTTGGCTGGACAAGAAGTCTAAACTTCACTCAACTATTTCTTATTTGAAGAAGATGGATGATTAGCTATGTTGGACTTATTCATCATATGCATTGACATTTGATTATGATTTTCATCCTCTTAATCAACACTATTGTGATTTGCCTTACTCTTAAAATCATTCCAACTCTCGTGAAAACTATAGATTATTTTACTATTATCCTGTTGAATGCCTGCTTATTATCTTTAAGAGAGTTCTCTATTCTCTTTATTATCAAAACTCTTAATCTCACTTTAATTCCTCATCTAATATGTCCCCAGTTTATGCTAATTTTATTCATACTCATTAGAATTGACTTCATTTTTCTGGGCTGATGAGAAGTAAGAACTATTTTGAGAATGAGACTATGATGAATTGAGAATGTCATCTATACTCTAGCGAGACATCTGCATGTACTAGTCAATTATCTTTTACTTATTAGCTAGGTTAAACTCATTTTCCAAGTTCCTCTGTCTAATTTCACTCTGCTACGAGCTATAAGCGTCAAGAGATATACTCTCAGATCTATAAGAATCCATTGTTAATTTAATTCAAATTTAAACTGATTCAAATTTATTCTTTTGATCCTCAATATAATCACAGTGGGGTTTTGGGGTTTTGGGGTTTTGGGG